GCTCCCAACTTGCTGCTGCTGCCACCATTAGTACCCAGCACAACACAACCAGTGCTGCCATCACCTTCCATGCACTGGCCCACCCTAAGAGGATTCTACCACCTGGCCTCCACGGGTGCCCTTCTACCACAGGAGGTGAGCCACTGAGCCATGCCATCTGTAGGCTCCAATCTCCAGCTCACCATAGATGACTCCTTCACCTGGAGCAGCTGGGTGGACAAAGCCAGAGAAACCTAGAACAGGATGCAGAAAAGTAGTGTTAGAGCCTGACCTTGTCATACCAGCCATTGCAAGGCAGGGGCCAGTTTCAGCGAAGGCACTCACATCACCCTCCAAAGTCCAGCCTCTCCTCCTGGCCCAAGCTGGCCTCCTGGCCTGGGGTGGAAACAAGACACCACAGTACCCAGGGCTCCTTGAGAAGCAGGAGCAGCAGAAACTCAGACCCAACAGGCCCTCCCCACCCAAGTACTGGTTCCCGATCCTGACGCCTCCACCCACAGGGTCTTGTCCACCATGGTGCCCACCACATGCCCAGGGGTCCCAGATAGTCATCACAACATAGAGCAAGAGAGTGAGAGCCAGGAATTTATGGTGGGTGTAGGGGCCCTGCCATGCTCAGAGGATTGCTGTGAAAACTCTGTATGTCTGCTGCGCTTCAACAAGAGCAGGAGTTGTTCTCCCCCTAGAGCCTTGAGTCTAGGAAGAGGAAAAAGGGCACTTCCTTGGAAGCCACCACTGTCACTGCCATCTCTGCAACCCGCCACCTGTGGCAGCAGTGCAGCCCCGAATGGCACCCCCTAACCTGGCCCTCGTTGCCAACAGTGTAGCCCCCAGATTGCACCGATACACCCAGAGACCGCCACAGGCAGTGTGACACCAACACTGCCCCCAAACCACCCCCTCCTCCGATAGTGTAGCACCCAATAGTGTCTACAACCTGTCCCTGCCACAGGCATTGCAGCACGCGATAGTGTCCCAAACCCACCCCGCCTCCCACACCACACCCCGGCCCTGGGCCCCGGATAGCACTTCAACCTCCCTCAACCTCCTCAGGTACCAGCAGGAGGAGGACACGCTCCAGAGACTGCAGAAGGGGGAGACCTCCTCCTTGCCCTGGCTACGCCTCCACTGGTGGCACCGAGGCCTGCAGTACAGTGAAACCCGGGAACAGTGGACACAACCAAGCCCTCCACCCCACCTTCCTCCCCTCCATCGCACGGGTAGTGCAGCACATGACAGTGCACCTAAAACTGCCCCCACTGCCGGCACTGTAGTCATGGGTAACTCACTCAACCCGCCATCTGCCTCAGGCAGTGCAGCAGCTCATAACCCCCCTAACCCCAACTCCGTGCCGCCAGCAGTGCATGCACACAGCCTACCTCCAACCCCACCCCCATCTTGGGCAGTGTAGGCCCAGATGGGGCTCTCCAGCAATGCAACACCAGACAGCCGCCCCCCGCCAGCCCCCCGCAGCAGGCATTGAAGCCCTGGGCAATGCAGCCCCAATAGCACACCAAGCCCATCCCCGCCTGGAGCACACCTACCCCACAACCCTTCTACCACTCTAGCAGAGCTGCAGTCTCCCTAGCCAACTGCAGCCAGGCAAGCCGCCGGGGTGCAAGCTCCAGCCTGCAGTATGCAGCCGATGGCCCCCCTTTCTCTTCATTCTCTAAGCAGTCAGGAGCACTTCCCTGACTTCCTACCAGTCCGGCGGCCCTCCTACTGCTCCTACCGCTCTTCCTACCACTCCGGCTGCCCTTCGGCTGCCCTTCTAGCCTCTGGTCCACCCTCCTACCGCTCCAGCTACGCTGTAGTCTCCGTCGCCACCACCCACTGCAGCGAGGCCAGCCGCAGTACCGCAGGCTGCAGCCTCCAGCGTACAGCAGGTGGCTCCACTGCCCCTTCTCGTCCTCAGCCGGGAACACAGCGCCTCCACAAGCAGATACCCAACAGCCGGTAACTGCGTGAGGCGTCCTCAGCATGCCTTATATATTGAGGTTATGCATATGGCTCCTGGACTACATGTTCTGATTGGATGAGAGAAACCCTCTAGGCCTACTCTGATTGGACTTTATTTTCATGCTCTGATTGGTTGTCCTAAGACTTGCTCTCATCCAATCAGAACATGTAGTCCAGGAACCTCTGCGCATAACCTCAGTATATAAGTAGTGCTGAAGGGATGTCAGTCCTTTCCAGTGTCTCCCGTGTCTGTTCGTTGAACTCGTCTGTTCCCGGCTTAGGGGAGCAGGAGAGGGAAGAGCCGGCTGCCTTCTGCTGGAGGCCGGAGCCTGCGGCTCGCCTCTCGCTGTGACTCACCTCTCACTGCGGTTGACCTCTCAGTGCGGTTGGTGGTAGCCATGGAGTCGTAGGCTGGACAGGTAGGAGGGGGAAAGTAGTTTTCGGATAGATTGAGGGCTACAGAGCGTGACTGATGCCGAAAGGAAAAAGAGAATGGCATTGCAAAAAGATGGTGAGGAAAAGATGGTGGGAAAACTATTTTGGGGTAGATGGAGGGAGTGAAAAAAGGTTGTGAGCAGAAGGGAGAGAAGCTTTCGTGAAAAGATGGTGGGGAAAAGAGAGGATGGTGGGGTGAAACGGGGGCGAGCAGGAGGCAGAGAAGGTCTGAAAAAACACAGTTGGGAGAAAAGAGAAACAGGGAAGGAAGACGGTGGGTAAAAAGATTTTGGGCAGATGCCGAAGGGAAGAGGGTGGCAAGTGGGACAAGAAAAGAGGGAGAGGAAAGAGAGAGTGGGCAAGCAGGAGGGAAAGAAGGTTTTGCGAAAAGAAGGGGAGAAAAGTTTTCATGTAGGTGGAGGGGGAAAAGAAGGTGGCGAGAAGGAGAAGGATAAAGAGGGTGGTGAGTGGGAAGGAGAAAAAGTTTTCCAAAAAGGCAGTGGGCAGGAAAGAATGCAGAAAGAAAAGACAGTGGATGAAATGTTTGGGTAGATGGAGGGGGAAGAGGGTGGCAAGTGGGAAGAGAGAAGTGAAGGTGGCCAGAGGGAGTGGGGAAAGAAGGTTGGGAAAAAGGTGATGGGGAAAATAGTTTGGGATGGATAGAGGGCAAAAAAGTTGACAAGCAGGATAGGGTAGAGAAGAGGGTGAGCGGGAAGCAGGGAAGGTTTTGCGAAAAGATGGAGGGGAAGTATTTGGGGTCGGTGGAGAAGGGAAAGAGGGTGGCAAGGAGGAAGAGAAAGATGATGGGGAAAACAGTTTTGGGGTAGATGAAGGGGGAAAAAGGGTGCTGAGCAGCAGGAGTAGGGAGAAGGCTCTGGGAAAAGATGGGAGGAAATGTTTGGGAGTAGATGGAGGAGCAAAAGAGGGTGATGAAAGTGGGAGGGGGAAAAGACGGTAGTAAGGAAAGGAAGAAAGAATAGTAGGGGAAAACGGTGGAGAAACGTTTTTGAGTAGATGGATGGGGAAAGCGGTCGTGAGTGAGAGTAGAGAAGGCATTATGAAATAACTGGAAAAAAGTGGGGGAAAAGTTTTGGGGTAGAGGAAGAAAAAGGGTGGCGAGAGGGTCGGGGCCAAAGGCGGTTGGGAAAAGATGGGGAAATAATGCTGGGGGACAAAGAGTTTGGGTAAATCTTTTTCTGATTTTTAAATCATATTATTTGTATTTTTGCTTTTCAGTAGTTTGAGTTCATTATTGTTTTGCAGATACTTCCATATTGTGGATTGTTTCTTCATTCTACTTAGAATGTTAACAGATGTGTTTTGCGGGAGTTGGTCATTAACATACTTATAGTTGAAATTCAATTATTTTTTTCATATCATTAGTCATGGTTTCAGTCCATGTAGGAATAATGACATATGCTTTATTTCCATTAAGTATCATTTTATAGGCTTTGTAGGGTTTTCTTCTAAACCCTCACCTATTTATGGGGGTTTAGGGTTAATTGTTAGTGGTGCTGTGGGTTGTGTTATTATGTTGAATTTTGGTGGGGCTTTTGTAGGGGCTTTTTAGTTTATTTGGGTGGTATGATGGTTGTTTTTGGCTATGCTGCGGTGATAGCTATTGATGAATATCCTGAAACATGGGGATCAAGTGCTGACATTTGGGGATCTCTACTGTTAGAATTAATAATAGAGACGATGATAGTTTGGTAGGTGAACATGATGAGGTGGTAGTTACTGTGAATTATAATACTGTGGTGAGTTGAATGATTTATGAAGGTGATGGGCCGGGGTTAATCCATGAAGATCCTATTGGTGCAGCTGCTTTATATAATTATGGGGTTTGAGTTGTGTTGGTTACTTGTTGATCATTATAAGTGTGCACATTACAATTGAACTTACTCTGGGTGGGGATTAAACAATTAATAGTAGGGTGAGGGTGGATGGAAAGAAGAAAGAGAGAAAATATTAAGCCTTTTTGAGTTGATGTAGTGGTGGAAATTGAAATTTCGGTTTGTGAGATTGTTTTTAGTATAGATTTTTCTAATCAGAGTAGGTCTAGTAAAAGTGAAGCTAGATTTTGGCTTGTGCCTAGGCCTGAATAGGGGTTTGAGCCATGAATTGTGGTTGAATAAAAGCCTAGTATATTAGAGAAGTTAAATATTTTGACTGGGATACTTAGTTTAAGGTTGTTAGTCATGAGGTTAAGTTCTATTGCTAGGAAGTATTCCTAAGGTAGTTACACTTAGGGCTGTGAGTTTGAGGTTATTTGAGGAGGTGAAGTGGGAGAGATACAATTAGAAATGAGGAATCCAATGAAAATACTGCTGACTGCTAGGTGATTAATTGGGTTTATTAGGAATGGGTCATTTTCATTAATGATAATAAGGGTTATAAAGTGGGGCTGTCCTACTAGAGCAAAGAAGATAATGTGGATGCTATATATAGCTGTTAGGGAAATGGCTATGAGAATATTAAAAGGGGCTGAGGCATTGGTATATGACATATATGACATATTCAGAGTTCAGTTCTTCTCTTCACCGCTCTGCATCCTCTCTACAGGCCAAGCCTCTGTGGCCCTGCGTCCTGCAGGTATTCCCAGATTTATGGTTAAAAGACAGGGACCCCTTGGAAGCCGAGAAATGGTGAGTGCTGAGTCTGTCATGGTGAGAGAGGGATGGGAGCTGGTTGGAACTGGCTGAAAGTGGCTGTAACAGGACCCAGACTTCCTCGCAGTCAGCTCCGAAGTCTGAGGACCCAAATCCTCACTGGCCCATCTCGGCTCTTAGTCCCCTGGAGCTGTAAGGTTGTGCCTGGGCCAGCAGCTGGGACCCTGGGATTTCTTTTTCCTCTGCTGTCGCTTTGTCCTGGACTGTTGCTCTCTCTGGGTAGCTCTGTGTTCCCAGCGCCTCATCTCACCCAGGTTATGCAGGGATGGGAAAGTCATGGGGGGAATCCTGACTCAAGGTGCAGGATTCTTGAGTGGAAAAAGCTATGGTACCTGGGGTCCCAAGTTCCTTATTTTTGCTTTTAGAAATGTATCAGTGTCACTGTAAAAATATTAGAGAATTTGATTAAAGTGTGATTAAAGAATCATAGAGTGCCCAGCTATGGTTTATGGGTTGTGGTCCATGGGAGAGATTTAAAGAAAAGTCTGTTGTAAGTTGCATAATGAAGCAAACCAAATTCAGTAATTGAATTGGTACAGTTATGTAGTTTCCTTGTTTGTAAGATTCAGGTAAAAATTTATTAATTTAAATTTATTTCTTCAACATACATAGTAATATCCAAGAAATGCTTTTTTTTTTTTTTTTTTTTTTTTTTTTAAGATGTAGACTTGCTCTGTTCCCCAGGCTGGAGTGAAATGGCATGCCCTTGGTTCACTGCAACCTTGGTCTCTTGGGTTCCAGCTGTTCTCCCAACTCAGGCTCTGGAGTAGCTGGGATTACAGGCACCTGCCACCATACTCAAATATTTTTTTGCATTTTAGTAGAGACAGGGTTTTACCATGTTGGCCAGGCTCATCTCAAACGCCTGACCTCATGTGATCCACCTGCCCCAGCCTCCCAAAGTGTTGGGATTACAGGCATGAGCCACCACTCCTTGGCCCTGTTAAATTGATTTCTGAATTTTATGCTAAACTTTATGAGATAGGACTGGGCACATTCTAGAAGAAGTTTGTTCATATTACTAATTGTTTACTAATATCCTGTAATGGAAATAAGGAAAAGTATCTCTTTCAGACAATACACATATCATTTACTTTTCTCATTGAGCTATTTAAGCACCTTAAAATTTTTTCCCCTTGTATAAACACTGCATTTCAGTAATCTTTCTGGATTAATCTAACACTTACTTTCAAAAACTCAGTGACCATCTCTGACTTGGAAATTAAAGCTTAGCCCTGTGACTCCAAGCTAAGGCTAACATTGAGCCTGCAGTAAGAGGTTATTGAAGATCTTGTCAGTTCTTTCTAGGAAGCCTCCCCTGCAGATATCCCAGCCTGCTCACCCCATCCATGGAAGAAGCCTTTATACTGAGAGAAGCTACAGAGCCCAGGACAGCTGGGGACCCACAGGCAGATGCAGTTAGGGTTAGAATGGGTGGGAATTGTTGCTGTTTGGGGGGCAGTTTCTAGACTTTGAAATAAAAATGAAGTCAGATTTAGGTAAGACATTCTGAATCCCAACAGAAAAAAAGTACAAGGTATAAGATTTTTCAAGGAGATCATCATTTAGGCAGACAAGGACTATCTTTCACAGAGTATAGCAAACAAGTTTAGAAAGAAGGTGGAATAAGAAGGACATGATAGAAGGGGCAAAATTAGATTCTAGATCAGAAAATGTTTTACCTTAAAGTCAGCAGATTCTTTTTTTTTTTTGAGACAGAGTTTCGCTCTTGTTACCCAGGCTGGAGTGCAATGGTGCAGTCTCGGCTCACTGCAACCTCTGCCTCCTGGGTTCAGACGATTCTCCTGCCTCAGCCTCCTGAGTAGCTGGGATTAGAGGCACGCGCCACCATGCCCAGCTAATTTTTTTGTATTTTTAGTAGAGACGGGATTTCACCATGTTGACCAGGATAGTCTCGATATCTTGACCTTGTGATCCACCTGCCTCGGCCTCCCAAAGTGCTGGGATTACAGGCATGAGCCACTGCGCCCAGCCCAGCAGATTCCTAAAAAGAGCCAGAAAATGGGGTTGTATGTTGACTCAAGACTGAGGTTAGTTTAAAGCAGGAGCCCAGGGAAAAGATAAAAATTTAAGTGAAGTTGATTAAAAAGTATTTTGTTTTGACCACTGAAGAAAAGTTTTTAGCCGATTCTTTTATAAGAAAAAGGTGAAAATTTGCAGAGTGTATACCTTTCTATGTGATAAGTAAGAAAATATAACACCATCTAAGTCATCATGGGAAAAGTCTTTCTGCTATGCTGTTGCTGAAGAACACAAAGGATGGATTGTTTTATTTTAGAGACAGAGTCGTGTTCTGTTGCCCAAGCTGGAGTTCAGGGGTGCAATCTCAGCTCACAGCAACCTCTACCTCCTGGGCTTCAAGCAATTCTCCTGCCCCAGCCTCCCAAGTAGCTGAGATCATGGGCACCCACCCACCTCTGCACCTGCCTAATTTTTTGTATTTTTAGTAGAGACAGGATTTTGCCATGTTGGCCAGTTTAGTCTCAAACTCCTGACCTCATGTGGTCCAACCTCCTTGGCCTCCCAAAGTGCTGGGATTACAGGCAAGATCCACTGTACCTGGCTGGAGAATTTTATTAATCACAGCTATTTACCAGAATTATTTATGCACCATCTTTCCCAAACATTTTTTTTTTTTTGGTCTTATACATTTTTTTCTATTTGGCTGTTTCTGGGTTGCATGTTTTATAGTAAACTGGCTAACGTAAGTACAGAATTTTGCTGAATTCTATGAGTATCTCTATCAAATTATTGAACTTGAGGGTAATTATGGGAGTCCCCAATTTACAAACAGTAGCTCAGAAGCATAGATAGGTCTTGTGACAAGCATGTGCAGTAACTGTAGTATGGTGAGAATGAACTCTGAATATTGTCTGTGCTGACTCTGGGTGGTATCAGAACAAAAATCTCAGACAAGTTGGTGTTAAAAAAATTGCTTCGTGCCAGTCCTGGCCAACATGGTGAAACCCTGTCTCTACTAAAAATAAAAAATGAGCTGAATGTGGTGATGTGAGCCTGTAATCCCAGCTACTTGGGAGGCTGAGGCAGGAGGATCACTTGAACCTGGGAGGTAGAGGTTGCAGTGAACTGAGATTGAGCCACTGCAGTACAGCTTGGGTGACAGAGTGAGACTGCCTCAAAAGAAAGAAAAATAAACAGAAAAAAAAAATGCTTGGTGTTTAACAAACTCCACAGATTGAGTGTCAGAAAAAAAGATGTTACAGAGCCTCGCCTGGAGGGGCCTCTGGGTGTCTGGTAAGGGGAGGCTTAGTTCTCCTGCACACAGGCTGTCACACTGCATATTGTTTTGTGACTCTAGGTCTCCTCTCGGGGAAAGGGGACTAAATGCTTAAGGAAAAGGAATTGTGAAAACAGACCTCCTTTCTCAGCAGGCAACACGTGATTCTCATGCATTCACAAGCACACCCACTAGACACTGATGTGTCCACACCCCTCCCAGGACTAGGCACCACCCTCAAGAGTTCCACCACGGCACATTTGCTTTTAGTGTTTCTTGCCAAAATTCCACCAAAGTGCCTACAGTTCCCTGGCATATTCCGAGTCCCAACACTGAATCTGCAGAAGCAACCTGTTTCCTCCACCAATGTAGGGTTCTGTACCACATGATCATAGTCTAATCTGCCTGCATGGACACAGGAATAAATCAGAGTATAGCCCCACAGGGACCACTGTCTGCAGCGCAAACCAGTCCTATCACTTACCTTGAACTTTCCCACCCATAAGTTTTTGTCTGTTTTGTTTTGTTTTATTGAGACCAAGTTTTGCTCTGGCACAATCTGGCTCACTGCAACTTCCACCTCCCAAGTTCAAGTTATCCGTCTGCCTCAGTCTCCTGAGTCACTGAAATTAGAAGTGAGTGCCACCATGCCTGGCTAATTTTTGTATTTTTAGTAGAGAGACATGGGGTTTCACCATGTTGGCGAGGCTGGTCTCCAACTCCTGACCTCAAGTGATTTGCCCACCTCAGCCTCCCAAACTCTCCCAAAGTGCTAGGATTATAGGCATGAGCCACCAAGCTCAGCCGAATTTTGTTTTTCTACCTTTTATTTTAGGTTCATGAAAACATCTGCAGGTTTGTTACATAACTTTTTTGTGTACAGATTATTTTATCACTCAGGTACCCAAAAGATTTTTTTTCTGATTTTCTTCATCCTCCGACCATCCACCCTCAACTGGGCCTCAGTGTCTTTTGTTCTCTTACTGGTGTCCATGTGTTCTCATTGTTTTGCTTCCACTTATAAGTGACAATATACAGTATTTGATTTTCTGTTCCTGCACTAGTATTCTAAAAATAATAGTCTCCATCTTCCATGATGCTGCAAATGACATGTTGTTATTCTTTCTTGTAGATGCATCATATTTCATGGTGTATACGTACCACATTTTCTTTATCCAGTCTACCATTGAAGACATCCAGGTTTATTTCTTGTTTCTGCTATTAGAGTAGTGCTGTAAAACATGCGTACATGTGTCTTTATGGTAGAATAACTTACATTCATTGGGTCTATTCCCAGTTGTGGGATTGCCAATCCAAATGGTAATTCTGCTTTCAGGTTTTGGAAAAGTTACACTGCTTTTCTCAATGGTTAAGCAAATTTATACTCTCACCAGCAGCGTATAAGCATTCCATTTCTCCACAACCTTGCAAGTATCTGCTTTTTTCAGTTTTTAGTCTGATTGTGTTTATTTAAATTATTTCTTTTTTCTTCATTAGTCTACTGTATTATTTATCTTACTGATTTTTTTCATAGAATCAACTTTTGGTTTTGTGGGACTTTTTTTTTGAGATAGAGTTTCACTCTTTCGCCCAGGCTGGAGTGGAGCAGCACAATCTCAGCTCACTGCAACCCCCACATTTTGATTTTAAGTGATTTGATTTTAAGTGATTCTCCTGCCTCAGCCTCCCCAGTAGCTGTAATTACAGGTGCCTACCACCACATCTTGCTAATCTTTAGTAGAAATGGGATTTCAACATGTTGGCAAGGCTGTTCTCAATCTCTTAACCTTGTGATCCACCCACCTCGGCCTCGCAAAGTGCTAGGATTACAGGCATGAGCCACTCACTGTGCCTGGCCCGTTTTTATAGATATTTATGTTTCAGCCTTGTTCATTTCAGCTCTGATTTTGGTTATTTCTTGTATTTGGTTAGCTTTGAAGTTGGTTTGCTCTTTCAGAATTCTTTTATTGATAACATTAAGTTTTAAATTGAGATCTTTCTTTTTGATGTGGATGTTTAGTGTTACACATTTCATTCTTACAAATGCCTTAGCTGTGACCCAGAGATGCTGGTATGTTGTATTTCGGCTCTAATTAGTTTCTTTTTTTTTTTTTTTTTTTTCCCTTGAGATGGAGTTTTGCTCTTGTTACCCAGGCTGGAGTGCAATGGTGCGATCTTGGCTCACTGCAACCTCTGCCTCCTGGGTTCAGGCAATTCTCCTGCCTCAGCCTCCTGAGTAAGTAGCTGGGATTACAGGCACAGGCCACCATGCCCAGCTAATTTTTTGTATTTTTAGTAGAGACGGGGTTTCACCATGTTGATCAGGATGGTCTCGATCTCTAGACCTTGTGATCCACCCACCTCAGCCTTCCAAAGTGCGGGGATTACAGGCATGAGCCACCGCTCCCAGCCATCTAATTAGTTTCAAAAAAAATTTTTTATTTCTGCCTTAATTTCATTATTTACAAAATAGCCATTCAGAAGCTGATTATTCAATTTTTATGTAATTTTATCATTTTGGGTGTGTTTCATATTGAATTATTATTCTACACATTTCCTTTTTTAAATTAATAGAAAAACACAAGAAGAAATGAAAATGTCATGCTCTTAATCTAAATGCTAAAAATAATTCAACACTTAGTAAGAATTTCCAGGGTGCTATGAAAATTAAATCACATTATGTGTTATTCCCAGTGCAGTGTTCTGTGACATACTCCTGAGCACATAGTACCTGCTCAACACTTGGTTAGTACATGTGTACGTGTTTCCCAAGTGCAGACTTACTCAGACATTGCTGCCTTCTGTTGTCTCTATAAACTTTAAAAAGCCAACAAAAAATGTATTTCAGGATGGAGATTGGTTGTCTTTATTTGTACCAGAAGTATTTGTATTGTGACAGTTGTGGTGGGTGTAAGGGACTCTTTTTATTTTTGAGATGGAGTCTCCCTCTGTCATCCAGACTGGAGTGCAGTGGCACCGTCTCAACACACTTCAGGCTCTGCCTCCTGGGTTCAAGCAATTCACCTGCCTCAGCCTCCTGAGTAGCTGGGATTACAGTTGTGAGCCACCGCACCTGGCCAGGGACTCTGCTGTGCCTGGTAACTAATGCTAATAATGTGTCTGGGAAAGCACAATCCTTTTATCCTGGGACTTTTTCCCAAGTACAGACTTACTCAGACATTGCTGCCTTCTGTTGTCTCTGTAAAGTTTAAAAAGCCAACAAAAAATAGATTTCAGGATGGAGATTGATTGTCTTTATTTGTATCAGAAGTATTTGTATTGTGGCAGTTTTCAACAAGACGGGACTTGTTGAAAAAGCCCATTCCTAGACCTTTTTGGATGCTGCAGAATTACATTGCATAAAACAGGGCCAAAATTACCAAGTGATTGTAAACTTGATGGGTTTAAGATACATTCAGGAGAGTTTAGTTCAACCTTTGCATCAAAGGAAGGCTGCACTGCCTGTCCTGTTTCAGTTTGGAAGGAAGAGGTCAGTGTAGTTTATGCTCCCATTACTGTAAAAAAAAAAATGCTGGTGTCTAATAGGAGAGGGCAGGAAAAAATAAACAGGAGTTCAAGACCAGCTTGGCCAACATGGAGAAAACCCATCTTTACTAAAAATACAAGAATTAGCTAGGTATGGTGGCTCACACCTGTACTCCAAATTGCTTGGGAGGGTGAGGCAGAATAATTGCTTCAAGCTGGGAGATGGAGGTTGCAGTGAGCCAACATCATGCCACTGCACTCCAGCCTGGGTGACAGAATGAGACTCGGTCTCAAAAAAAAAAAAAAAAAGACATGTCCATGTTGATGTACTTAATTTTATAATTTATCATCTAGAAAAGTATTATATCTACAGTGGTATTGTGGCTCTTATGCTATCCTCTTTTCTCAGAGAATACTACATTGTTAAAAAATTATCTTACTGAATAATTTTAGTCATTCTTATAAGTTAGAACCACTTCTTTTTACTCTCTTTAACTTGAGTCAAATAAAAATCTCTGCCTATGGCCGCTTGGTAAGTGTTTGTGCCTTCATGAGTGTTTTTTATTTCAGGGCCTATTGGCATTCAGAGATGTAGCCATAGAATTCTCTTTGGAGGAGTGGCAATGCCTGGATCGTGCTCAGCAGAATTTATATAGAGATGTGATGTTAGAGAACTACAGAAACCTGGTCTCCCTGGGTGAGGAGAGCTTCCATACACAGTTCCTAATGTATTTCCTTTCTTTTCTAAGATGTTTTTTGGTAATTTATGTTTACATGAGTGAATTTTAGATCTCCTATTTTAAGAAACTCTTGGAGATTCATTGGTGTAGAACAAATTCTTCAAGATGTTTTATCTTGACCTGAACTTTTCACTTTGCTGAGCTTATGCATCCTTTGTTTTAGGATAGTGGCAACTCCAAAACTATTGTGGCATAAAATGTCATTGCCCACACCTTAGAATTCAATTGCCACCATCAAATTTTGATTTAGTAGTACTGAATAGTGAAATTAAGGACCTACATTCTAAATATTTAGAAAGTGCTATTATGAATTAATATTAATTATCTGGAATTTTTTATTATATCCTCTTTAATAAGAATAATACTAGGTTGGTAATTAAAGAATTTGCTAATATTTATGTTACCTTTTTTTTCTTAATAAAACAGGTATTGCTGTCTCTAAGCCAGACTTAATCACCTACCTGGAGCAAAACAAAGAGCCCTGGAATATAAAGAGAAATGAGATGGTAGCTAAATACCCAGGTAAGTGAGAGTAGAAGAAGCAGGATGACACAAATGAGAGGCACAAAAGTCAAGGAGGAAGACAGTCCTTCAAATGTGGTCTGAGGATCTGTGCTTCAATGGAAAGAGTTTCTGAGAAGCCCAAGTAATTATTTTCCTTTTCTCTAAAATATGGACACCTGTCTCATGGTTTTAAATTCTCTAAGGATTCTACTTTTGCTTCAGTAATCTTCCTTCAAGTTCAGAGTGTGAGCCAAAGTTTTCTTTATGGTTTATAACAGGCGTCCCCAAACTACGGCCCTCGGGCCACATGCGGCCCCCTGAGGCCATTCATCCGGCCCCCCGCCCCACTTCAGGAAGGGGCACCTCTTTCATTGGTGGTCAGTGAGAGGAGCACAGTATGTGGCGGCCCTCCAACAGTCTGAGGGACAGTGAACTGGCCCCCTGTTTAAAAAGTTTGGGGACGCCTGGTTTATAAGGTAATGCACAAACTGCTTTGCCATAGCTTTTGGGGATACACAAATATCTGCATATTTTTGAAAAACTATGTTACACCATTCTTAAAATTCTTTTTTTGCATCCTGTGTAAAATGTGTGACAATGGTAGTTTCTGTTTGGTGGTTGTCCATTTTTCTGCATATGCCATTCTTTGTTTATTACTATAGCCTTGAAATATATTTTAAACTTCTTAACAAAATTTTTTTATTTTTAAATTTTTATCCATGTATTTATTTATTTATTTAGAGGTTGTCTTATGAGACTTGCTATGAAGGGATATGTAAACAGGATACCTCTCATGTCTTCATTTTACTGTGTTGCATATATTAGATATAGATTCATAAATTGAATTGCTGTATTATGTAATTTCATTTCTAATTATTTAAAGAATATTCATGATATTTCTTACGATGGCTGCATTTTTTTTCTCATCAACAACTTACATATGTTTCAATTTCTTTACATAATCAACATAGTTGGTGTTTTTGAAAGAAATCATAGTGGCCATTCTAATCTATATAAGGTAATTGTGTTTTGTATTTTTATTTTGTTTTTCATTTTTCTATAATTATTAATTTTGTGCAACTTTTCAAATGCTTCTTCTGATTTGTGTATATTTTTAATTAAAATTTAATTTAATCATTTGGTCCATTTTTTTCTTTTTTTTTTTTTTTTTTTGAGATGGAGTTTTGCTCTTCTTGCCCAGGCTGGAGTGCAATGGTGCAGTCTCCGCTCATGGCAGCCTCTGCCTCCTGGATTCAAACTATTCTGCCTCAGCCTCCTGAGTAGCTGGGATTACAGGGTTATGCCACCATGCCCAGTTAATTTTGTATTTTTAGTAGAGATGGGGTTTTGCCATGTTGGCCAGACTGATTTCTAACTCCTGACCTCAGGTGATCTGAAGCCATCTCAGGTTCCCAAAATTCTAGGATTACAGATGTGAGCCATCGTGCCCGACTCATTGATCCATTTCTAAATCAACTAATTCAGTTTACTGTTGTAACAGTATATTTCAAACTGGTTTTAAAAAAGGGACTTCAGTGGCATAGAAAAATTTGTCATCATTATATTTCTTTTTCTTTTCTTTTCTTTTTTTTTTTTGAGACAGACTTTCACTCTTGTCACCCAGGCTGGAGTGCAATGGCGCGATCTCGGCTCACTGCAACATCCGCCTCCTGGGTTCAGGCAATTCTCCTGCCTCAGCCTCCCGAGTAGCTGGGACTACAGGTATGCGCCACCATACCCAGCTAATTTTTGTATTTTTAGTAGAGACGGGGTTTCACCTTGTTGACCAGGATGGTCTCGATCTCTTGACCTCATGATCCACCCGCCTTGGCCTCCCAAAGTGCTGGCATTACAGGCGTGAGTCACCGCGCCCGGCCTGTCATCATTATATTTAAATGTATTTGTTTGTTTAGGTTCTTAATTTTTTACATTTATGTGGGTTTTTATACCTTCACAATTTGTTTTTATTGTCCCAAGCCTTTTGTTATTTTTATTTTTCCAATTTTATTTAGGTGTCTGGTTTTTTATTTTTTTCATTGAGCATAATATGTATTATCTTAAAAATTTAAAGGTAATATGTACATCATTATTTTTATTGCAATTTTTTATTTTATTTTTTTTTGTTTGGTAGATGTAGAGTTGATTTTTATTTTATCGCATTTTAGGTTGTGGGTACATGTGAAGACCATGCAAGATTGTTGCATAGGTACACACATGGCAGTGTGATTTGCTGCCTTCTTCCCCTCAGCTATATCTGTCATTTATCCCCATGCTATCTCTCCTCACCTCCCCACCCCCCATCCCTCCCCCAGTTCCCCCCAACGTACCCCAGTGTGTAGTGCTCCCCTCCTCGTGTCCATGTGTTCTCGTTGTTCAACACCTGCCATGAGTGAGAACATGCAGTGTTTGATTTTCTGTTCTTGTGTCAGTTTGCTGAGAATGATGGTTTCCAGGTTCATCCATGTCCCTACAAAGGACAAGAACTCATCGTTTTTGATGGCTGTGTAATATTCCATGGTGTATATGTGCCATGTTTTCCCTGTCCAGTCTATCATCGATGGGTATTTGGGTTGGTTCCAAGTCTTTGCTATTGTAAACAGTGCTGCAATGAACATTCGTGTGCATGTGTCCTTATAGTAGAATGATTTATAATCCTTTGGATATATACCCAGTAATGGGATTGCTGGGTCAAATGGGATTTCTATTTTTAGGTCCTTGAGGAATCGCCACACTGTCTTCCACAATGGTTGAACAAATTTACACACCCACCAACAGTGTAAAAGTGTTCCTATTTCTCCACATCCTCTCCAGCATTTGTTGTCTTCAGATTTTTAAATGATCACCATTCTAACTGGTGTGAGATGGTATCTCAATATAGTATTGATGTACATTTCTCTAATGACCAGTGATGATGAGCATTTTTTCATATGTTTGTTGGCCTCCTGTGTGTCTTCTTTTGTAAAGTGTCTGTTCATATCCTTTGCCCACTTTTGAATGGGCTTGTTTGTTTTTTTCTTGTAGATCTGTTTTAGTTCTTTGTAAATTCTGGATATCAGCCCCTTGTCAGATGGGTAGACTGAAAAAATTTTTTCCCATTCTGTTGCTTGCCAATTCACTCGAATGACTGTTTCTTTTGCCATGCAGAAGCTGTGGAGTTTGATTAGGTCCCATTTGGCTATTTTGGCTTCTGTTGCCAATGCTTTTGGTGTTTTGATCATGAAGTCCATGCCTATGCCTATGTCCTGAATGGTTTTGCCTAGATTTTCTTCTAGGGTTTTTATGGTGTTAGGTCTTGTGTTTAAGTCTTTAATCCATCTGGAGTTAATTTTACTGTAAGGTGTCAGGAAGGGGTCCAGTTTCTGCTTTCTGCATATGGCTAGCCAGTTTTACCAACACAGTTTATTAAACAGGGAATCCTTTCCCCATTGCTTCTTTTTGTCAGGTTTGTCAAAGATCGGATGGTTGTAGATATGTTGTGTTTCCTCTGAGGCCTCTGTTCTGTTCCATTGGTCTATATCTCTGTTTTGGTACCAGTACCATGCTGTTTTGATTACTGTAGCCTTGTAGTATAGTTTGAAGTCCAGTAGTATGATGCCTCCTGCTTTGTTCTTTGTGCTTAGAATTGACTTGGCTATGCGGGCCCTCTTTTGGTTCCATATGAAGTTTAAGGTGTTTTTTTCCAGTTCTGTAAAGAAGGTCATTGGTAGCTTGATGGGAATAGCATTGAATTTGTAAATTACTTTGGGCAGTATGGCCATTTTCACGATGTTGATTCTTCCTAACCATGAACATGGGATGTTTCTCCATCTATTTGTGTCCTCTCTATATCGTTGAGCAGTGGCTTGTAGTTCTCCTTGAAGAGGTCCTTTACGTTCCTTGTTAGTTATATTCCTAGGTATTTATTCTCTTTGTAGCAATTGTGAATGGCAGTTAGTTCTTGACTTGGCTCTCTTTAAATCTGTTACTGATATATAGGAATGCTTGTGATTTTTGCATGTTGATTTTGTATCCTGAGACTTTGCTGAAGCTGGTTATCAGTTTCAGGAGATTTTGGGCTAAGACGATGGGGTCTTCTAGATATACAATCATGTCATCTGTAAATAGAGACAATTTGATTTTCTTCTTTCCTATTTGAATACCCTTTATTTCTTTTTCTTGCCTGATTGCTCTGGCTAGAAATTCCAGTATTATATTCAATAGGAGTGGTGAGAGAGGGCATCCTTGTGTAGTGCTAGACTTCAAAGGGAATGCTTCCAGCTTTTGTTCATTCAGTATGATATTGGCTGTTGGTTTGTCGTAAATAGCTTTTATTACTTTGAGATACATTCCGTCAATACCGAGTTTATTGAGGGTTTTTGGCATAAAGGGTTGTTGAATTTCGTCAAAGGCCTTCTCTGCGTCAGTTGAGATAATCATGTGGTTTTTGTTTTTGTTTTGGTTCTGTTTATGTGGTGAATTACGTTTATGGACTTGTGAATGTTGAACCAGCCTTGCATCCCTGGGATGAATCCTACTTGATCATGGTGGATAAGCTTTTTGATGTGCTGGTGCAATCAGCTTGCCAGTATTTTATTGAAGATTTTTGCATCTATGTTCATCATGAATATTGGCCTGAAGTTTTCTTTCCTTGTTGAGTCTCTGCCGGGTTTTGGCATCAGGATGATGTTTGTCTCATAAAATAATTTTGGAAGGATTCCCTCTTTTTGGATTATCTGGAATAGTTTCAGAAGGAATGGTACCAGCTCCTCTTTGTATGTCTAGTAGAATTCAGCTGTGAACCCATCTGGGCTTTTTTTGGGTTGTAGGCTTAATTGCTGCCTCAACTTCAGATCTTGTCAATTTTAGACCTCTCCTTTCTTCTCATGTGGGCACTCATTGCTATATATTTTCCTCTAGAGACTGCTTTGAATGTGTCCCAGAGATTCTGGTATGTTGTGTCTTCGTTCTCATTGGTTTTGAAGAACATCTTTATTTCTGCCTTCATTTCATTGTTTATTCAGTCAACATTCAAGAGCAAGTTGTTCAGTTTGCATGAAGCTGTGCGGTTCTGGGTTAGTTTCTGCATTCTGAGTTCTAACTCGATTGCACTGTGGTCCGAGAGACTGTTGGTTATGCTTTCCCTTCTATTGCATTTGTTGAGGAGTGATTTATTGCAATTATGTGTTCAATTTTAGAGTAGGTGTGATGTAGTGCTGAGAAGAATGTATATTCTGTGGATTTGGGGTGGAGAGTTCTGTAAATGTCTCTTAGGTTTGCTTGTTCCAGGTCTGAGTTGAGGTCCTGGATATCCTTGTTAATTTTCTGTCTGGTTGATCTGTCTAATATTGACAATGAAGTGTTAAAGTCTCCCACTATTATTGTGTGGGAGTCTAAGTCTCTTTGTAAGTCATTAAGAACTTGCCTTATGTATTGGGTGTGTATATATTTAGGATCGTTAGCTCTTCTTGTTGCATTGATCCTTTTACCATTATGTAGTGTCCTTCTTTGTCTCTTTTGATCTTTGTTGCTTTGATGTCTATTTTTTTTTTTGCTCTCCATTTACTTGGTAGATCTTCCTCCATCCCTTTATTTTGAGCCTTTGTGTATCCTTGCATGTAAGATGGGTTTCCTGGATACAGCACACTGATGGGTTTTGTCTTTTTATCCAATTTGCCAGTCTGTGTCTTTTGATTGGGGCATTTAATCTATTTACACTTAGGGATGGTATTGTTATGTGTGAATTTGATACTGTCGTTTTGATGTTACCTGGCTGTTTTGTTGGTTAGTTGATGCACATTCTTGATTGTGTTGATGCTCATTACTGTATGGTATGTTTTTGGAGTGGCTGGTACTGGTTGTTCCTTTATATGTGTAGAGCCTCTTTTAGGAGTTCTTGTAGAGTAGGTTTGGTGGTGATGAAATCTCTGAGAACTTGCTTGTTTGCAAAGGATTTTAGTTTTCCTTCACTTATGAAGCTTAGTTTGGCTGGATAGGAGATTCTGGGTTGAAAGTTCTTTTCTTTAAGGATGTTGAATATTGGCCCCCACTCTTCTGGCTTCTAGGTTTCTGCTGAGAGATCTGCTGTGAGTCTGGTGGGCTTCCCTTTGTGAGTAACCCGACCTTTCTCTCTGGCTTCCCTTAGCATTTTCTCTTTCATTTCAACCCTGGTGAATCTGACAATTATGTGCCTTGGGGTTGCTCTTCTTGAGGAATATCTTTGTGGTGTTCTCTGTATTTCCTGGGCTTGAATATTGGCCTGCCTTGCTAGGTTGGGGAAGTTTTCCTGGATAATATCCTGAAGAGTATTTTCCAGCTTGAATTCATTCTCTTTGTTTCATTCAGGTACACCTATCAAACGTAGATTAGGTCTTTTCACATAGTCCCACATTTCTTGAAGATTTTGTTCATTCCTTTTTGCCCTTTTTTCTCTGTTCTTGCCTTCTCCTTTTATTTCATTGAGTTGATCTTCGACCTCTGATATCCTTTGTTCTGCTTGGTCAATTCGGCTGTTGAAACTTGTGCATGCTTCGCGAAGTTCTCATGTTGTGTTTTTCGCTCCATCAATTCACTTATATTCCTCTCTGTGTTATCCATTCTTGTTAGCATTTCGTCCAATCTTTTTTCAAGATTCTTAGTTTCTTTGCATTGGGTTAGAACATGTTCTTTTAGCTCACTGTAGTTTCTTACTACCCACCTTCTGAAGTCTGATTCTGTCATTTCATCACCCTCCTGCTCCAACCGGTCTTGTTCCCTTGCTGATGAGGAGTTGTGATCCCTTTTAGGAGGAGAGGTGTTCTGGTTTTGGGAGTTGTCATCCTTTTTGCGCTGGTTTCTTCCCATCTTTGTGGGTTTATCCACCTGTTGTCTTTGTAGTTACTGTCTTTCAGATTGGGTCTCCGAGTGAGCTTCCATTTTGTGGATGCTGAAGTTACTTCTTTTTTTTTTTTTTTTAAGCTTTCCTTCTAACAGTCTGGCCCCTCTGCTGTAGGACTTCTGAGGTCCACTCCAGGCCCTGCTTGCCTGGGGATCACCTGCAGCAGCTGCAGAACAGTAAGGGTTGCTACCAGTTCCTCTTCTGCTATCTTTGTCCGAGAAGGATGCTCGCCAACTGTCAGTCCATTCTCTCATTTATGAGGTGACTCTTTCGATCTATGGGGGTCAGGAAGCTGCTTGAGGAGACAGTCTGTCATTTATTGGGGCTCAAGTCCTGAGCTGTGAGCTCTGTTGTTCATTCAGAGCTGCTGGGCAGGTACGTTTAGGTCTGCTGCAGCTGAACTCATAAACCGCCTTTTGTTCCCAGGTGCTCTGTCCCAGAGAGTTAGGGCTTTATGAGTTTCCATTGTGCTGCTGCCCTTTGTGATTTTTCTTTCTCGGCTGCCGCACCCGGCTAACAGCCCACCTCGTCACTGTCTGCCTGCAGAGGCTTTGCTGAGCTGCTGTGGGCTCCACCCAGCTGCCATGTCATCTTCCCTGCAGTCCTGTTTATATGGGCGTAGTTAGAACTGCCTCAGCAATGGGGGCCCTGCCTGTGTTATGGCATACTCTCTCTGTTGTGGCAGGTTTCCTCGTCAACGGCGGGTTGCCTCAGCAACAGCCTGCCTCCGTAGTGGTGGAGAGTCTCAGTAATGGCAGACGCCCCTCCCCCGCAGAGCTGAACCATCCCGGATTCAGCTCTGCTTGCTGTGAAACGCTCAACCCAGCGCATTTTCAATTACTGTTTTTGTTGTCGTTGTTGTTGGGGGGCGGGGGGTGGGACCAACCGAGCCTGATCACCTGGCTCCCTGACTCAGAGTCTTTTTTTTTTTATTTTTTAAGTTGAACGACCCAGCATTCCAGTTGCCTGTTGAAAAGGTGCTGGGATCTCCTGTGCCACGACTCACTGAGCTGGCTCATACAGCAGCGCCGAGGTTCCTGGCGGTTTTTTTGCCTTGGAATCTCCTGGCCTGGCTCGATACTTCAGATGAATGGGCAACTCTGCCGTCTCAGGGCTCCAATCACCAGCTAAGAGGGCTCCCAGACCAGTGGCTTTTGTACGGAGAACCACCGCAACAGGGCATGATCAAAGCAGCCGCGCGGGCCCAGTCAGCCCCGAGGGGGCCAAAACAGACACACCAGCCAGAACAGCAGCACTGGCGACCCCTTTGCCTGGGTATCTCCTGGTCTGTGGGCGATAAAAATTTATCTGGAAATGCAGCATTCACTCACCCTCTGCACTTTCACTGGGAGCTGAGGTCCTGAGCTGCTCTTAGTTGGCCATCTTCCCAGCAGTCTCCCTTTTTTAATTTTTTTATTGAACAACGTTGTTCTAATATTTTGTATACGCTGTAATCTTTGGTTGAGATGTAGACATTAGCGTAAAACTACCTTTCACAATCTTTGTAATGTAGCTCTTTTCTGACATAGCCTAAAACCAATTGTCTTGGTTAGAGATTCTGGGAGTCTCTCAAACATTGTTCTCAGGATGTGTCCTGTGTGCAATTCGGTATTTACTTTTTTAGTTAAAAGACCTCACCATGTTTCTTCTTTCCAGTCGGTAACTACTTTCTACACCTGTTTAATGTCCATGCTGCTGCAGTCTTTCTGCTGCTGTAACATTCACTTTTGATCTCAAAAGACTTAAAGTTGTCATTTCAAAGTATACCACCATTTCATTCGGCATGTTCTGTCCTGGAAGATAGAAAGGCCCCCAAAAGCCAAAAGTAAAGACATAGTTGCCAGTATTTTTCTTGTCTCTTGAGATAGAAGCCAGAAGTTGACAGTTTACTCCTACAGACACCATGTTCTTCTATTGGGGCTGAGAAAGGGCTGTGTTGGGAAATGTAGCAGACTTTTCTTTCTACAGGGCTCTTGGCATTGTGCTTAGCTGGTGCACACACTTTATTTATAAATTTCCAACAAAGATATTTTCATCACTGTTTTTGTTACATTTATACATCTATAAAGAAATTACAGCCTGCGGTATTTTAATACGCCATTTTGCTAATGTACCTGGTATAATTTTATGTATGATTTTTAAAGTATATTTATCTGAGTCTATTAAGTGGAGTCAGTTGCAATTTTTATGTCTTTCAGTTACGTATTCATATTTTACCCAAGACCTTCAGCCAGATAAAGGCATAAAAGATTCACTCCAAAAAGTAATACCAAGAAGATATGGAAAAATTAGTACCAAGAAGATACGTGGACATGAGAATTTACAATTTAAAAAATACAATGAAAGTGTGGGTGACTGTGAGGTGCACAAAAGAAGTTATAATGAAGTTAACCAATGTTTGTCAACTACACATAACAAAATATTTCAGACTCATAAATGTGTCGAAATCTTTGGTAAATTTTCAAATTCCAATAGACATAAGACAAGACATACTGAAAGGAAACATTTCAAATGTAAAAACTATGGCCAGTCATTTTGCATGCTTTCGCACCTAAATCAACATCAGATAATTCATACTAGAGAGAATGCCTACAAATGTGAAGAATGCAGGAAATCATTTAACTGCTTCTCAAGCCTTACCAAACATAAAAGAATTCATACTGGAGAGAAACCCTGCAGATGTGAGGAATGTGGCAAAGCTTTTAGCTGGTCCTCAACCCTTGCTAAACATAAAAGAATTCATACTGGAGAGAAACACTACACATGTGAAGAATGTGGCAAAACCTTTAGCTGCTCCACAATCCTTACTGACCATAAGAGAGTTCATACTGGAGAGAGACCCCACACATGTGAAGAATGTGGCAAAGCCTTTAGCTCATCCTCAACCCTCACTAAACATAAAAGAATTCATACTGGAGAGAGACCCTACACATGTGAAGAATGTGGTAAAGCCTTTAGCTTATCCTCAACCCTCACTAAACATAAAAGAATTCATACTGGAGAGAAACACTACACATGTCAAGAATGTGGCAAAGCCTTTAGCCAGTCCTCAAACCTTGCTAACCACAGGAGAGTTCATACTGGAGAGAGACCCTACACCTGTGAAGAATGTGGCAAAGCCTTTCGCCGTTCCTCAAACCTTGCTAACCACAAGAGAATTCATACTGGGGAGAGACCCTACACATGTGAAGAATGTGGCAAAGCCTTTCGCCATTCCTCAAACCTCGCTAACCACAAGAGAGTTCATACTGGAGAGAGACCCTACACATGTGAAGAATGTGGCAAAGCCTTTAGCTTATCCTCAAACCTCACTTACCACAAGAGAATTCATACAGGAGAGAGGCCCTACACGTGTGAAGAATGTGGCAAAACCTTTACCCGCTCCACAATCCTTGCTAACCACAAGAGAATTCACACTGGAGAGAGACCCTACACATGTGAAGAATGTGGCAAAGCCTTTACCTTCTCCTCAACTCTTAATATTCATAAGAGGATTCATACTGGAAAACCCTACAAATGTGAAGAATGTGACAAAGCTTTTAAGTGGCCCTCAGGTCTTGCTAATCATAAGATAATTCATACTGGAGAGAAACCCAGTGAATGATGTGGCAAAGTCGAACTCTCGGGCCCTATAATAAAATAATTTATACTGGGAAAAATCACTGCAAGTGTGGAGAATATGGGCAAGCCTTTTTAACCAGTTCCAAACCTTTATTGTACATAAGAGAATTCAGCTTCGACAGAAATCATATAAATATGTTTAAAAGGTAACAAAGCTTTTAATCAGCTCTCAAACTTTAAGGAATCCATGAGAATTTATTTTTGAAAAAAATTATTTTTAAATGGAGTCTCACTTTGTCAACCAGGCTGGAGTGCAGTGGCACAATCTCAGCTCACTGCAACTTCTGTCTCACAGGTTAAGGCAATACTCCTGCCTCAGCCTCCTGAGTAGCTGGGATATCAGGCATGTGCCAGCACACTGGCTGATTTGCGCATTTTTAGTAGCGAAATACAAAAATTGTGGGAAAAAAATGTGGCAAAGCATTTAACTGGCTCTCTATCCTTATTAATTAAAAAATGTTTTACTGGAGAAAAATCACATACATAAAAAATGTGATAGAGCATTTAAACACACCTCAAACTTCTCTGAAAAACACTGGGAGAGACTCTGGAAATGTGTCAGATGTGGCAAGGCCTTTAAATGGTAGTCACACATTATAGTAGGTAAGGTAATTTATACTGAAGAAAATGCCTACAAATATGAAGAATGTTGCAAAACTTTTAATAAATTGTCTCACCTTATTGCACAGGAAAGGATTTATACTAGAGAAACATTGTACAAATGCAAAGAATGTGAAAAGCCATTAATATCTGCTCACGTCTTAGTATCAGAAAGTTTGTGCTTAATAAAAGCACTATAGGCCAGGCAGTGTGGCTCACACTTGTAATCCCAGCACTTTGAGAGGCCAAGACAGGTTGATCATGAGGTCAGGAGTACAAGATGAGTCTGTTCAACATGGTAAAACCTCATCTCTACAAAAAAACAAAAGTAAGTGGGTTGTGGTGGCATGCACCTGTAATCCCAGTTACCAGGGAGACTGAGGCAGGAGCATTGCTTGAATTTGGCAGGCAGAGGTTGCAGCAAGCCAAGATTGAGCCACTACATTGTAGCCTGCGTGACAGGGCAAAAAAAGCATTAGAAATATTATTACTGTAAAATGACCTTTCAGAAAATGTAAGTCTTTAAAGACTGTTTACTCTAAAGACAAATATTACAAACAGGATTGTAGTGCCTTTACTTGTATTACAGATTTTCTTGTACACATTTTACATTAAAGGAAAACCCCAAAGAAGATGGTCAAACTTTGTCAAACATCAGGGAATTTATACTTGAGAGAAAGCCTAAAAATGTAATGAATGTGAAAATGTAAAAATCTAATGAATGTGAACAAACTGTAGTTAATTCAAAAACTACAGTTTAGAAGACACCCATTAATATATTTCTGCAGTTGCAGTAAATGGGGAAAATAAACAAAAAATAGGTCTAAGAATACCTTTGAGGATTCACAGCAGAAAGAATGAAGACTCTGCAACTTCAGACATTACACTAAACCACTGTTGAGGATAAAAAGGACCCAGAGCTAATGATACATATTTTAAAGAAGCAAATTTTTTTTTTTTGGAGATTTATGATAACATTCAAGATATGTTTCTTTTTCTGTAAAAAAAAACTACAGATTTTCTAAAAAGCAAATAATATTGTAACTCAAGTTACTTAATGTTGATTCTTCCTGTTTGTGTAAAAGTATTTGATTAATTATTGCACCAGATATATGAGAGATTGTTTTTTATTAGGTGCCAATTCATGAACTTTTCTATAGAAAAATAAGGACATCAAGTTGTAAGATGCATAGTGAAAACCTAAATGGAGAGGCTCTTTGTAGTTGACTTACAACATTGTTTTAGTGATGGATAAGGTGGTTGTTTAGAGTAGTATTCTGAATTCTAGTGAAAGGAAAAAACTTTGAATATTACTAGTAAATTATTTCATCAATTGTACCTGTAGGTAATAAAATGCAATAAATTTAAATTTTTTTAAAGATTATGTGTGAATTCAAGTTTTCATTAAACAAAGTTGTTTTTAATGTGTTAAAACTATTGTGCTTTGAATGAACTGTTAATATGCCATGAACTTTAATGTGTTCCATCTTGAGCTTCTAAGTAAAAGATGGTAATGATATACTGTTTGTTAATGTAGGGGAATGACATCTCTAGTAAACTCTTTTTTGGCCAGTGTTTTGTTTGTTTTGAGATGGAGTCTTGCTCTGTTACCCAGGCTGGAATGCAGTGGCACGATCTCGGTTCACTGCAACCTCTACCTCCTGGGTCCAAGCGATTCTCCTACCTCAGCCTCCTAAGTAGCTGGGATTACAGGCATGTGCCACCATGTGGAGCTAATTTTTGTATTTTTAGTAGAAATGGGGTTTCACCACATTGTCCAGGCTGATCTCAAACTCCTGACTTGAGGTGATCCACCCACCTCAGAGTCCCAAAGTGCTGGGATTACAGGAACGAGCCACCAGGCCTGGCCTGCCAGTGTTTTTAAATTGCAAGTAAGTTGAAGAATTTTGTTCCCATAGATCAAATTGTATTCTTTTTTCCCTTAATTTTTTTTAATTTTTGTGGGTAAATAGTATGCCTACACACTTGTGGCATATATGAGATATTTTAACAAGTATACAATATTTAATTATCACAGCTGAGTAAATGAGATATTCATCATCATGGGCACGTACTTTTATATTACAGAGAATCCCACTGTATACTTTTTAGTATGTGCAAATGAATTATTAGTTGCAAGGTCATTTTTATGGTCATAAAAATTATATGGGTTTAATTAATGTCCATATATTTCTGAGTCTTGATTAAACATTTTTAAACATTTGTTTTATATGTTTTTTGTACATGTGGCCTCTCTGCTGACAAAAAGAGACTTTTAGTTTTGATTTACATAGAGTTACATATACAAATATATTACTCTAAAGACATACCAGTTGGGCACATTGGCTCATGCCTTCACTTTCAGAGGCGAAGGTGAGTGAGTGATTTGAGGTCAGAAGTTCAAAACCAGACTGGTCAACATGGTGAAACCCCTTCTCTACTAAAAATACAAAAAAACAAAAACAAAACAAAACAAAAGAGCTTGGTGGTGTGATGCATAACTGTAGTCCGAGCTACTCAGAAGGCTGAAGCAGGAGAATTGAACCCAGGAGGTGGAGGTTGCAGTGATGGTGCCACTGCACTTCAGCCTCAGTGATAGTGAGACACTGTCTCAAAATAAAAATATGTATATATACATGTATAACTTAAGAAAGTCATGTAGCAAGTGATAGTGTTTGAGTTTGTATGCATTTCAGAAGAACAATATATGAAACAAAAAATTTTAATAAGGTGGATAATTAGAAACCTGGAAACCTCAGAGATTCAGAAAAATATATATATATATTCTGTGCCTACTAAAAGCACAAAAATTAGCTGGGTGTGGTAGTAAATGCTTGTAATCCCAGCTAATTGGAAGGCTGAGGCAGGAGAATCTCTTGAACTTGGGAGGCAGAGGTGGTGGTGAGCTGACATTGCACTCCATCCTGGGCAACAAGAGCAAAACTCTGTCTCAAAGAAATAAAGGAAAAGAAAAAGCATGTAACAACAACAAAAAAATTATTCAACAAAACCCAAGAGAAGACAGCATTAGAAGTAAAACAAAGGCGCAAAAGTAATTGCAGTTTTTGCCATTAAAAGTAAGGTAAAAATTCTAAAGTGTAACACTAAATGGTCAGACAATTCACAAAATGGCAGTAAGTTCTTACCTATCGATTTTTAAAATAGCAAATAGTTTAATTAAAACACATTGCTATGTTTTGAATATCCCCTTCAAAATTTGTTTCAATTTAACTGCCATTGTAATAAAATCGTAAATTTTGACCTTTAAGAAGATATTAGGTCATGCAGGACCTACTCTTATAAATGAATTAATGTCATTATTTCCAGAATGGGTTACTTAGCAGGAAAGTGGGTCTATTATAAAAGTAAGCTCTGTGACACCAGGCATGGGGGCTCATGGTTGTAATACCAGCATTTTGGAAGGCCCAGGTGGTCAGATCACGAGGTCAGGAGATGGAGTCCAGCCTGGCTAACACAGTGAAACCCTGTCTCTACTAAAAATACGAAGAATTAGCCTGGCATGGTGACACGCACTTGTAGTCCCAGCTACTCTTTAAGGCTGAGGCTGGAGAATCGCTTGACCTTGGGAGGTGGAAGTTGCAGTGAGCGGAGATTGCACCATTGCACTCCAGGCTGGGTGACAAAGCAAGACACCATCTCAAAAAAAAAAAAAAAAAAAAAAAAAAAAAAAAAAAAAAAAAAAGCAGCTCTCTGGTGTACGCCTTTTGTCATCTTCGTCTTCGTGCCTTTGGTCGTTTTGTGATGTGGAAATATGATTCTAATCAGATGTCCATAACATGCTCTTGGACTTCTACAATATAAAATTGTGAGCTAAGTACACTTTTATTCATTATAAAAAACCAACTCTAGGATATTCTTATTAAAGCAGAAACTGAAAAGATTCACAAAAAGTCTAAATAGATTTTTTAAATATGCTTCACACAAGTGATTTATTTTAGATTTAAGGGCACACATAGGTTAATGGTTAAAAAAATTTAAAAACCCATACCAATAATAATTGAAAGACTGTAAGAGCGGCTATATTTATATCAGACAAAATAGACTTTTAGAAAAAAACATCTGTCCCGAGAGACAGACAAGATCACTCTGTAATAATAAGAGGATGATTTGTCAAAAGGACATAACAATTAAAAAATATATGCAGCAGGCATGCGCACTGGGCGGCGCCCGCGCTCGGGTCCAGGTGGGGCCGCGGGAGTCCGGGGCGCCGAGGGTCAGGCAGCGACGGCTGGCGGCAGTGGGGTCTGCGGGCTGGGTTCAGCATGCAGACGCCCGCGCAGGCGCCCGTGGCAGCGAACGGCACCAGTGTTTTTCTGGCCGAAGTTCTCATTTCCCGACTATGGAAATGGAACAGGAAAACATGACTGTGAGTAAGCAGTTGAGTCCCGGTGCGGCTGCGTAGGGCTGCTCGGCCTGCCATGGCTACGAGACCTGCAGTTACAGCCACCCCATCCGGGGCTGCGCCAAGTCTGAGAGCCTGTCCGCCTTGCCCGCCCTGGGGCGCACCAGAGTTCAGGAGGACGCGCTCTCTCCATGGGCCAGGCCCGGTGACAACTTCTGGACCAAAGGCCGGCGTGCTGCAGAACCCCCAGACCATCGTGCACATTCAGGACCCCGCAAGCCAGCGACTGATGTGGAACAAGGCTCCGAAGAGCGTCCTTGACATCAAGATGAGAGATGCCAGCCTGCTGCAGCGGTTCAAGGAGCTCTGCACATACCTCATGGAGAACAACATGATCGTGTATGTGGAAAATACAGTGCTAGAAGACCCTGCCATTGCCAGCGATGAAAGTTTTGGGGCAGTGAAGAAGTTCTGCACCTTCCGAGAAGATTATGATGACATTTCCAATCAGATCGACTTCATCATCTTCCTGAGGGGAGACGGGACGCTGCTGAGCGCTTCCTCACTCTTCCAGGGCAGTGTGCCTCCGGTCATGGCCTTCCACCTGGGCGCCCTGGGCTTCCTGACCCCGTTCAGCTTTGAGAACTTTCAGTCCCAAGTTACTCAGGTGATAGAGGGGAACGCAGCTGTTGTCTTCCGGAGCAGTCCTGGTTGAATAAACAGATTATTCCGTTT